TGCGTGGGTTTTATGTTGTAGTATTGTTGACTAGCAGTAAAGCCCGGCGTTGCCCGGGGATGTAACAGTAAGAGATAGATCAAGTATCGACCATCATAAAGACGGAAAAATAAAATTGACAAAGATTATTGTTTAAGGTTGACGGACACGCATGTCTTAATTAGTTTTATTTTATTTTTTTATTTTTTTTTTTTTACGAATTGGTCAAACCCAAACTCAAACAAAAACATTGTTTTCAATCATTATTAGTCTACCGACTGAATAGAATTTTATTATAAACAATTGTATGTAAATGGAATTTTTAAAGCATTGTGAATGTAAAAATAAAGAAAAAAGTGTGCAAGACAATAAGAAATATTACATGCCAAAAAAAGTGAAGTTTTGTTGAAATCGGTTGAAAAATGTACGAAATCCGATCCCATATCTAAACAAGCACACACACACACACACACACACACACACACACACACACAACCTGGGTTTTATAATAAGTATAACTCGATAACTCGATATTAATAAGTATAACTCGATATGAGTTGTCCCCCCTTCCATTAATGCCTCTTAATCGTGTTTTCAAATTGATTTCGTGCAAAACCAATTGTGTTTTCCCCATTTTTGGCGCTGTCAGAACCACCGCAAGGTAATTTTACGTAGTCCTGTGAAGTTTTGTTGAAATCGGTTGAAAACTGTAGGAAATCCGATCCAATATATAAACGTACAGACACACACACACAATTTGCGTTTCATAATAAGTAAGATGTTATATTTTGGAATACAGTTTGAATTCTTGAAGTAATTGTAGAATATTATATGGATTAATATCATGAAAGCGTTCTTTCATGTTAGTCGGGTGATTTTGTTCAGGGGCATATCAAACTCAAAGGGTTATTTAATGCCAATATTTTAGTATTTTCAACACAAATATAAGGCTTCAACGAAATATATTTAAAATGTAATTGTATGCCTTCGACTACAGATAAAATGTATTGTAGGTAATTTTACTATAAATATGTATTCTCGGTAATTTTACTATAAATATGTATTGTCGGTAATTTTACTATAAATATGTAATGTTGGCAATTTTACTATAAATATGTAATGTCGGCAATTTTACTATAAATATATAATGTTGGCAATTTTACTATAAATATGTAATGTTGGTAATTTAACTATAAATATGTATTGTTGGTAATTTTTCTATAAATATATAATGTTGGCAATTTTACTATAAATATGTAATGTTGGCAATTTTACTATAAATATTATTGTCGGTAATTTTACTATAAATATGTATTGTTGGCAATTTTACTATAAATATGTAATGTTGGCAATTTTACTATAAATATGTAATGTTGGTAATTTTACTATAAATATATAATGTTGTCAATTTTACTATAAATATGTAATGTTGGCAATTTTACTATAAATATTATTGTCGGTAATTTTACTATAAATATGTATTGTTGGCAATTTTACTATAAATATGTAATGTTGGCAATTTTACTATAAATATGTAATGTTGGTAATTTTACTATAAATATGTATTGTTGGTAATTTTACTATAAATATATAATGTTGTCAATTTTACTATAAATATGTAATGTTGGCAATTTTACTATAAATATTATTGTCGGTAATTTTACTATAAATATGTATTGTTGGCAATTTTACTATAAATATGTAATGTTGGCAATTTTACTATAAATATGTAATGTTGGTAATTTTACTATAAATATGTATTGTTGGTAATTTTACTATAAATATATAATGTTGTCAATTTTACTATAAATATGTAATGTTGGCAATTTTACTATAAATATGCATTGTTGGCAATTTTACTATAAATATGTATTGTTGGTAATTTTACTATAAATATGTATTGTTGGTAATTTTACTATAAATATGTATTGTTAGTAATTTTACCAACAATATTTATTGCTGGTAATTTTTTTTTATATATTTAAAACCAATTGCTGGTATTTTTTACTATAAAATGTACTTTTATACTTTCATTCTATTTTGACCCCAATCTAAGAATTAACTAGTTTGCCCATAGCTGAGACCTTAACAGGTGCAACCACGCCGGGTCATGGTGAACAACAGCAATTAAGAGGTGATCCCACGCTCCTCAAACCTCCAATCTGCAGATCAGATGGCTTGCTGCCAGATGTAGTTTATCGTCATACCCGGGACTAATTATAGTAGTTGTGGTCAGAACCTTAGAGATGTTGTTCCTCCCGGTCATGTGAAAAGATCTTGGTTGATAGTAGAGGAATAACTCTGTGTGTGACGTTTTCGACGGCGTTCCTCTGCCTGATGGAACAACACAACGTCTGTGCGAAGATTTCGTCAACTGTCCCGATAACCAGCCAACTTATAGTAATTTGCTCGGGAAGGATGGCCGTGTCGTATCGCTTGTACTGATCCCCGATAACACTTACGGCCGATTCCAACTAAGCAAAGATCGCACATTGCGGGAATCTCGTCACAAACACGGGCATGAGTTTAGCTGTGAATGCACCACATATTTGTAATTTTTTTATCATATTACCCAAAGTCAGGCAATAATGTCACTAAGACGCAAGGTGTTATTGTGCATTAGAGAATACGAGGAAAATTATATTAAATGGGGAAGACAATAAAAGAACAAGAATGAAGAAGATAACGAATGCTATGCGCGTAAATTTTCAAAGATCATTGTTTGATAGAGGAAAATGAAGCAAGAAAAGAGTTCCACAAGCGAGAAGTGCAAGAGAAGAAAATATTAGCATAGAACTTACGGTTACATATAGTCATTTCAACTATAAAATGATGAGACCTAACCGCTAGTCTAGTACAGCGCTTAAACTAATAAAGTCTAGATACCACAGAGGAAAGTGCTATTTATCTCGACTCCCCACAAGGCAGGATGCGGCACAAGGCCAAATTATATATACAACCTTACATAACTATACTTGTATATAGCTATCTACCTACCTACCTATCTATCTATATATTTATCTATCTCTCTATATATAGAGATCTATACCTATACTTATAAATATAGATACATAGCTATCTATGTATATGTACATATCTATCTATCAATCTCTTTCTCTCTGTCTCTGTCTTTTTCACTCTCTCTTTCTATATATATATATATATATATATATATATATATATATATGTGTGTGTGTGTGTGTGTGTGTGTGTGTGTGTGTGTGTGTATAAATATAAATAAATATATATATGTATAATTATTTAAATATTATATGCGCGGTACTTATTAGAAAGCGCTCAATATCAGAGATAGAGCTAACATATTTGGTTGGATAGATGTGAGTTTGTGACCCTGGGTTTCACGCTTTAGTGATCGTCAGACAAACGATCGTCAGAAGGTTTTATATATATGTATATATAATAAAGTAGATATGTTGGCCAATACAACAAAGTAAAACGAAATGGTACCGATGTATCTAGTACGAAAAACATTTATTAATATGAACCAGGTGACAAAAATGAAACACGAAAATTGAGGTTCCAAGTTTGGAGGTTTCGAACACGCCTGTGTTCTTCATCAGCGGGTGCGAGAAATAAACAGAGGGACAGTGGAAACTATCCATTATTTTTGAGGCTCGGTAGTGTCCACCTGTAGGTGGAATTGTGAGAAAAAATTCGTTCCCTGTTTCAATTCCCGCGGTGCAAAACTTTTTGTGAAAATAACCTTAGGTTTAATAATAGTGATTGGTGGTGGGTGAAAGGGGAGTGAGATGATGAACATAGAGGGAAAAGGGTTATAAGACCAGGGGTGGGGATGGTACTCGTGTTGAAATAATTTGTTGTTTGGATAAAGTGTGGGAACATAGCGAAATTGCTAATCAAAAAGTTTATATATATATATATATATATATATATATATATATATATATATATATATATATATATATATATATATATTATGTATATGTATATATATGCATTTATTTATATCAGCAATGCTAATAATCATAATAATAACAACAATACAATTGAGAAAATACGTAAAAAAAAAATATATATATATATATATATATATATATATATATATATATATATATAAACAAAACTTTAAGTGAGATATCTCTAATATATATATTATATTTGTAACGTTTATATATTCATTCATTTCAATGTCGTCATATCCCATAATTTGTTTGTTTTTGCATCAGTCTCTTTATATCTATGTCAACCAAACCTGTTTCTTTATACATAAATATAAATTCTGTTGATATCTATCTATCTATCTATCTATCTCTCTGTATATATATATATATATATATATATATATATATATATATATATATATATATATATATGCATCTCTGTTTGTATATGAGTGTGTGGTAGATAAATAGATAGAAACAAAGAAACATAGATAGAAAGATAGATAGATACGGACAGACTGAGATAGATAAGAGCAAACTGAGAAAGAAAGAAAGAAAGAAAGAAAGAAAGATGGAAGGAAGGAAGGAAACTGACATAGATAGATAGATAGATAGATAGATAGATAGATAGATAGATAGATAGATAGATAAAAATTGACATTGATATTAAGAAAGAAAAAAGAAAGAAAGAAATGCCGGCCCCTTTTTTCTTTCAGGCCTATCTGATGTTTTCTCATCCCAGAATAATCTATCCAGACTCATGTCACCCCAAATGACTTTCCAGAAATTGGAAACGCTTGCCAAATCGAAACTGGAAATGAACATGAGGCCCAGCGCCACACAGAGTAACAACAACAACAACAAAAAAAAGGTATGTAAGTTTGTCCAAATAAACAAAGACAGCATTCACAGAGCCTACAAGAAAAACAAAGAGAGATTTCCTGAAATCGATTTATGGGTGTTTCCCGATTGGGATAATTAATTTGATATTTTATATCCGGTTCGATTGGCGCCAAGCACAGATTTGAGGATGGATTGCTTCGATCGCATCGTATTTCAAATGGCTGTACGGTTTATATTCGCTGGAATGTCTTCAGTTTAGATAGATAGATAGATAGATAGATAGATAGATAGATAAAAACAGACTAATATAGAAAGAAGGAAAAAAGAAGAAAAAAAAAACTTTGCTCTTCATAGAAAAAGAAAGATGGAAATAAAAATATACTGAAAATATTGATAGATACAAATGTTTAATAAAAAAATTACCGACAGGTATTAATTAAGAATCTCACAGATTCTTCGAAAGTATTTTGCGTCTTTTAATTTTCTTATTGTATTCTCTTTATTTATTTTATATTATTTAATCGCATAGACGTATAAACCAGTAAAACTGAGACAAGGTTAAGGAGTGAGTGTAATGTGAAAAAATAATGAAAAGGACAAATAACCACGACATTCTACACGTACCACAGACTCGCAGACGGACGCACATATACACTTTGAAAAAAAAAACCTTGCACCAATGAAAAGAGCATATAAAAAACAGAAATATATAGAACTATAAGCAATCATTTGTTGATAACCCCTAGCGAATTAGTGATTCTTGGAGCGCCCATTTACGAAACTCTGTAGTCTGGATGCTTGAGGTAGCATCAGTCAGCTATGTGGCAAACTGTTTACTTACATCATTTACATTATCCGGACTGTTATCCTCCTCTTCATTGCCATATTCACGACGTTTCGGCCATTGTACACTCCGGCCTTCTTCAGGTGATAGGAATTTCGAACCGAAGCCTTTATTTCGTCCGCCGGGGTAAATTGTTCTAGTTCCACGTGCCATGCCTCTTCCGGATGTCTCAGTTTTTGGGGGGTTTTTTTACCACATTGACTCAACTATCCAAGTTTTGGTTCACCACTGCTGTACCCTGTTACTGAACTGAAAACTCCCTGGGTCTAGTCAGTAGATCTAACCAACGTCTTTATCCACGGGACCATGTGTCCTTGAGGACATCTTTGCATGGTATTCCCAGCATCCTTCTGTAGAACAGAGCTATGGATCCTCTTAACCAGCTGTGGGTAAATAGCAGGACAAACTAGGTTTTATAGCTTTAGGTAGCAACCTGAGTAGAAAATATAACTCTGAACTGAAAACTGTATGTAACCCTGGTATAGCACACTAGCAGCATGACCCGGCGTTGCCCGGGCTTGATTCAAAAATCGTACGACTCATACAGCAATCGCTATCACTTGACTTAAAATATTTTTGCCCTTCCTTGCCTTTAAAGGAGTGCCCTTTGCCGTGCTGATGTTGCTACATGCCTTACTTCTTGCCAATCTCACACTGCGAATTTTTTCTATGCTCTATACTAAACATTAAATCTGTTAAAAAAAAAAAGAACTAAACAAAATGATCACAAAACGATCAGCTTTAAAAAAGGACTCGTAACTGGAAAAACCGAATGAAAAAAAGAATGTTAACAACAAATAATTTTTCACACCCAACCCAGTTCTGCGGAATCAGAATCAACGTTGAGTTTTAGCAAGCGAATGAGCCAATCGGAGTAAAGTGCTATGCAGATTTAAATTTTTCCCATTTGTGACGAATGCAGCTATCGATATTTTTTGCATGCTAGTTAAGATTCGTGTCAGTCAGCTGTTGGCTCTCACGCTGGTCAATAGAATTTTCCCGCCTATTCGTGGCAGCCAGCTATAGGCTCTCACTCTGGCCAGTAGAAAATGGCCGCAAACTACATGAAAACTGCCGTAGAAGCATGAAAAATCGATTATTACCATTATCGATATGAGTTGGGAAATGCAAAGTCGGTGTTGGGCTTCCCGCTAACTTGGAGCATGTGCATGAAAATATTGGTGCAAATCCGTCAAAAATTGCGGCCATGCATTCGTTACACACACACGCACACACACACACACATTCTGCCTTTTATAGATAGAGATAAAAAATATTTACATATCTTTAAAAATAACGTATAAACAGAAAATATAATGAAACCATTGCCAGACTTAATCCATTTCAAAATATGTTGTCATTGTTTACGTTAAGATACATTTCGTGAGCAGATATGACACTTTCTTTTATTTGTCATGTCCTTTCAGGACGTAGGCGATCATGGCTCTCCGCCTCCCTCTATCCCTTGCAGCTCTCAACAAGTTCCTTTCCTTCTCCCAGACAGTACGTATTGAAGATAAGAAAGGCAGAGAGATACGACTACTTAACAAGCTTTTGTAAATGAATGAAAGAAGAATGAGTTGTGTGTAGACAAACGTTACTAAGAGCTACAGAAGATAGGAAGTTGTGGAGAGACATGATCGCCTACTCACACATGCTGCCTTTTATAGATAGAGATATGTGTTACCCCAGAGATACATACAGTTTGAATTCAGAGTTACTTTCTTTTACATAAGTTGTCAACCAAGGCTATAGGACCCGGTGTGCTCTCCTATTTACCCACAGTTGGGTGGGAGGAGAATACGAGGATACGTATCTTTTCCCATGGATATTAGCACGTAAGTGAATATAATGGACCCGACTGAAATTCGAACTCGGCTCTCTAATTCCTCAATTCGAGCCGCTATCCAT